AAATATGTATATTTAATTGCTGTTTCATGATCAAGCTTGGAAATAAGTCTAGGAAACCCCCAAAACCCAAAAACTAAGAGGAAACTGAAAACCAGTACAGTAACACTGGAGTTCACTCAGTATATTGCATGCCTTTTATTTATTTGTTTGTTTGTTTGTTTTTAAACGACCTCTTTCAGCTAGGAGGTTAAATGTTAATTCCTACACAAGAACAGGAAACAAAGCCCTCTAGAGATGACCTTACTTAATGAAACAGAACTAGAAAACTCCACCACTGCTGCAGGGAGATCAGAAAGTTATTTACATCCAGGATACTATATGGGAAGAAAAAACAAATCTATCAAGAAAAATATGTCAAGTCTGAAAATGAAAAATAGATTTGGAGTAAAAATATAATTATACATAATGCCAGATGCCCATGAAAATAAATCTATATGAAAAATTGTTTCAAGGTCAGTGATATTCCTGGGAAACCTGTGGAACATATAATATACCTATTAGAATGTCTAAACTTTAAGACTAATCATAACAAGTGTTAGCAGGAATGTGGAACAACTGGAACTCATACACTGCTTATGGTAATGTACAATGGAACACAGTTTGGCAGCTTCTTAAAAAAGTTAAACATAAACTTACTACATGGCCCAGTTAATCCACTCCTGGGTTTTACCCAAGAGAAAAGAGGGCATGTCCCTATGCAAAAACTTCTACATATGCAGCTTTATTTGTAATAGCCCCAAACTGCAAATAACCCAAATGTTCATCAACAGGTGACTGGGTTAAAAAATCATAGTATTTCCTCATAATGTGACACTATTAGCAACGAAAAGGAATGAACTATTGATTCATACAACAACACGAATGAATCTCTAAACAATTATGTTGAGTGAGAAAAGCAATAAAAAAATACATGTATCTTCACAAAATATGCAAGTATTCTTTTTTGTTGCTATATATATATATATATATATATATATATATATATACACACATTTTTTTTTTTTTTTTCTCTGCTGTCGAGTTGATTCCAACTCATAGCGACTCCTCCTTGGGTTTCCTAGGCAGTACCTCTACGAAAGTAGATTGCCCAATCTTCCTTCCAAGGAGTGGCTGGTGGGTTTGAACCACCCGCTTTCTGGTTAGCAGTCAAGTGCCTTAGGCACTATGCTACCAGACCTCCTTGGTATAAAATATATGTATCAAAAATAGATACACTTAGGACATTTTTTGTTTTGTTTTTAATATGAGTGGCCATAATAGCATGATGGAATTTTCCAAGAGCAATGACTTATTCACTGCAAATACCTTTTTTCAACAACATAAACAGCACTTATACACACGGACAATGCTGGATGGAATACACAGGAATCAAATCAACTATAACTATGGAAAGAGATGATTGGAGAAGCACATTATCATCAGTCAGAATAAAGCCAAGAGTCCACTACAGAGCAGACCATCAGTTGCTCGTGTGCAAGTTCAAGCTGAAGCTAAAGAAAATTAAAACAAGTCCATGAGAGACAAAGTTATGACCTTGAGTATATCCCACTTGAATTTAGAGATCATCTCAATAACAGATTTGATGCACTGAACACTAATGAAATCAAATCATCACCAAAAAAAAAAAAAAAAAAGGTTGTTTCTTCAAAAAGATTAATAAAATCAATAAACCATTGGCAAAAAAAAAAAAAAGAAAGGAAAGAGAAGACCAAAATGGATGTCAGAAGGGACTCAAAACTTGCTCTTTAATGTACAGTAGCTAAAAAAAAAATGAAGAAATAATGAAGTAAAAGAGCTGAAACAAAGAATTCAAAGGGCAGCTCAAGAAGATACAGTACTATAATTAAATGTGCAAAGACCTGATGTTAGAAAAAAGAGAACACACTTGGCATTTCCCAAGCTGAAAGTACTGAAGAAAAAAAATTAAGGCTTAAGTTACAATGCTGAAGGATTCTATGTCCAAAATATTGAACACAGGGAGAACCAAAAGCAGATGGAAGGAATATGAAGAGTCATCGTACCAGAAAGAATTGGTTGACATTCAATCATGTCAAGAGATAACATGTGATAAGAACCAATGGTACTGAAAGAAGACATTCAAGGCAGTGGACAAAAACAAAACTCTAGGGACTGAAAGAATACCAATTGAGAGGTTGTAAATGGATGTAATGCCGGAAGCGTGCACTAATCTATGCCAAAAAAGTTGGAATACAGCTATCTGACCAACCAACTGAAAGAAATCTGTATTTTTGCCCATTCCAAAGAAAAGTAATCCAATACAGAAATTATCAAATGATATATTAATATCAAACATGAGTAATATTTTGCTAAAGATCATTCAAAAATGGCTGCAGCTGTAGATTAGTAGAAATTCAGGGTGGATTCAGAAGAGGATGTGGAATGAAGGATATCATTGCTGATATCAGATGGATCTTGGCCGAAACAGAGGATATCAGAGATATGTTAACCTGTGATTTATTGACTATGGAAAGGCATTTGACTGTGTGGACCGTAACAAATTATGGATAACAGTGCAAACAATGGGAATTCCACAATATTTAACTGTGCTCATGTGGAACCTGTACATAGACCAATAGGCAGTCATTCAAACAGAACAAGGGGACACTGCGTGGTTTAAAATCAAGAAGGGAGTGCATCAGGGTTGGATCCTTTCACCATAATTATTCAATCTGTACGCTGAAAAAATAATCTGGACTATATGGAGAATTCAGCATCAGGACTGGAGGAAGGTTCATTAACAAATAAAATATGCAGATGATACTATGTATGGATTACATCTCAACATAAAGAAAACAAAATTCTCAGAACTGAACCAATATGTAACAT